AGGTTCTGCGACACCGCCATTGGCGCAGGTGGAATAACGCACAGGTGAAAAGAAAATGAAACAAAATTGTAGAAACACTATATATATCTCACAGCTTCCTCTCTTCTCTATGTACATATAGACAATTTCTATTCTATATTTGTATCTCTCTCTGTTGAATTTGCGGTTTAATGCATCACGACTTTCCAAATGGCTCTACGTGCTGCACCTGTCGTTACCTGAGAGAGATAGAGAGGTAAAGTCACTACACCCTGGCGGCGCCTCCTGTCAACCCCATAAACCCCCTTCAACTAAAACTGGTTGTAAAACTTTAACCAACAAAAGCACCCTCGTTATCAAATTCATCAAAATGAACGCTTGACACTTGACACACTATCAATGTTGTCTCGTTTAAATAATTTTTTTTGTTTTATCATCACTGACAAGAGTGGGACAATACTTTTTCTTTTTTTTTCACTTTTTTAGTTCTGATTTTTCAATCCATTTGATCTATTAATAAAAGTCTTAGTTGTTGGTAGTTAATTATTAATTGGTTGTTAATTATTATTAGCAATAGTGAATTAACAATTAGAATTTAAAAATGTTTTTAGATTTTAACTGCTTCTCACTTGAACTTTTAAAATTTTGGCTCCTTGTCGACAATGTTCTACTTGTTATTTATTTATTTTCAATTATTTTCTGCAGTTTTTCCATTCTACTCTGATTTTTAGTAGTAAAATTTCAGTAGTATTGAAATTATATTATTATTTTTTGTTATTATTAGTATTATTAGTATTACACTGAAAAAATGTATTTGATTTAAAAAAAACCGATTGCTTGTCTATTATCAAGTAAATATTTTCTTGAATCAAATTATTTTTGCTTAAACCAACTATTTTTTAATAGACTCCAAATAGTTCTTGCTTAAATTAAATTGTTTTTATTAGAAAAGATTTTTTCTTGAAACAAATATTTTTATTTGAAACAAATAATTCTTCTTTGAATCAGTATAATAATGTTTCTTGAAACAAATATTTTTGTTTGAATCAAATAATTTTTGTTTGAATCAATAATAATGTTTCTTGAAACACATAATTTTTGTTTGAATAAATTAATTTTTGCTTGAATCAAATTAAATTGTTTTTATATTAGAAAAGATAATTTTGTTTGTATCAAGTATTTTTTGGTTGTATCAAATAATTTTTGATTGAATCAATAATAATGTTTCTTGAAACACATAATTTTTGTTTGAATAAATTATTTTTTGCTTGAATCAAATTAAATTGTTTTTATATTAGAAAAGATAATTTTGTTTGTATCAAATATTTTTTGCTTGAATTAAATATTTTTATAATAGAAGCAAATAGTTTTTAGCAAAATTGAATAATTTTGCTTGAATAAAATAATGTTTCTTGAATCAAATAATTTTTGTTTGAATCAATTAATTTTTGCTTGAATCAAATTATATGGTTTTTATTAGAAATGATAATTTTGTTTGAATCAAGTATTCTTTGTTTGTATCAAATATTTTTTGCTTGAATCAAATATTTTTATAATAGAAACAAATAGTTTTTACCTAAATTAAATAATAATTTTGCTTGAATCAAATAATGTTTCTTGAAAGAAATAATTTTGTTTGAATCAAATAATTTTTGTTTGAATCAAATAATTTTTGTTTGAATCAAATAATTTTTGTTGAATCAAATAATTTTTGTTTGAACCAAATAATTTTTGTTTGAACCAAATAATTTCTGTATGAATTAAATAATTCTCAATTAAATCAAATAATTTTAGCTTAAATCAAATAAATATTTACTAGAATTACTTAAACTTTATTCGAAACTACAATTTTAATATTTGAAGGGCAAGTACCGTTTAATTGATCTGAATAAAAACTATATTTGATTCAAATAAATATTTATTTTATAACAAACAAGTAATCGGTTATTAGAATCAAGTTAATTTTTTCTCCACTATAGTATTATTGTTGTAATTGTTTTTTTTTTGTTTTTATTTGTTTATGTTTTGTTTTATTTTCTTTTTTAAAGAATTGTTTTAGTAGTATTTTGTACTATTTTTATTATAGTATTATTTTTCCTTATTGTTTTATAAAAAAATAGAAGAATAAGAAAAAATAATTATTCAGTATTATTGAACTTCAAATAGTTGTTAAATTTAAATTCTTTTTTCATAGTAAGATAGAAATAATTTTAGGACAAAATATTGAATCAATACTATACATTTTTAACAGAAATCGATAAAGAATTTATTGATTTTAAAGTGTAGCGGAATTTATAATAAATTTTAAATACTATTTTTATGGTATTTTTAAAATTTTGCAATATTTTCCCAAGGATGCGGTAGTTTTTTTCTCTTTTGCTTTTCGCTGAATTATTGATTTGTCAGGATATTTTTCTCGACTGTTATCATCATCGTGCATTAACATGTACCATTTGTACGACATGCGATAGAACTAATGTTCAACATTAGTGGAACATTATTTGCATTATGCCTTATTTTTTATTTTGTTTTATTCATTTTTATTTGTTTATTCTGTTTATTATTTGTTTTTTTCATTTACTTTTTGTACTTTATGTAGGTATTATTTTTTTATTTACTTTTTTGATTTTATTATTTATTGTTTCGTTTATCATTTGTAACTTCATTTTTTATTTTTTTATTTAGTTTTTTATTTTATTTATTTTTTATTTTTTCATTTAATTTATTTTTTATTTTGTTTTCTTTTGTATTTTTATAATTTTTAAATTTTCATTTGGTTCTTTATTTTATTTTTTATTTTATTATTTCTATTATTATTTATTTTCTTCTTTTATTTTGTAATTTTTTGATTTTTATTTAATTTTGTATTTTATTTATTTTTTATTTTATTTATTTTTTCATTTAATTTTGTATTTAATTTATTATTTTATTTTTATGTTTACTTTTGTATTTTATTTATTTTTTATTTTATTATTTCTATTTTAATTACTTCTTTTATTTTATTAATTATTTTTTTCATTTACCTTTTTTGTTTTATTTATTATTTATTTTTTCATATACTTCTGTATTTTACTTATTTGTTATATTTTCAATTACTTTTCGTATTTTATATGTATTGCTTTTTATTTACTTCTACCTATTTTTTCCATTTTATTAATTATTTATTCTTTCATTTACTTTTTTATTCTATTATTTATATTTTTATTTACTTTTTTTTCTTTTATTTATTATTTTTTCGTTTACTTTTTTTTCTTTTATTTATTATTTTTCATTTACTTTTTTTTTATCTATTTTATTAAAATCCAATTGAAATGCACTAACAATTTAAAATTGAATCACAATAACAATTTAGTTGAATTGAAATAACAATTGAATTGCAATAAAAATTGAATTGCAATAAAAATTGAATTGTAATAAAAATTGAATTGCAATAAAGATTAAATTGCAACAAAAATTGAATTGTGAATTACAAGCAACAAATAATACAGCTTTTTTCTTGAAATATCTCGAAAATTATTATTTGAAAATTGATAAGGCATCTTTTGTATATGGAGCATTATATCTGAAAAGTTCATCTTCATAAATTTATATACCTTTTACATGTATACAATTCTTCACTTTTAGCAAAATTTACATAGTTCTTTGATGCTAGTTCTTTATTTTCTAGAAAATATTTCTTCTTCAAATGCACCTTGATCTTTGAATACATATTGTGTACTATGCAGATTTCTCATCCACTAAGAGTTGCGTCATATACATAGAGATATATGCCATTGTTGTCTATGTAGCGAACCTTCAGAGGATAATACTCTTGAAAATATAGATTCTATCACAAGGCGGGTAGGTCTTTACACTCTCGGAAGCATTAACCCTTTAGAATCGAGTAATTAAAGTCAATTCCATTCTGTATCGATTTCACTTTGAATCCGTTTCTGAAATTTGACATTAGTATTCCGCATTTTGTATTATCATTCCCCTTTTAGTATTCTTATTAGTATTTCGTATTTTTATTCCGTATTTAGTATTCTTGTTGGTATTTCTGTCAAAATTCGTGTTTCTATCGAAATTTCGGTCAATATTAGCATTAGTATTCCATAGTTTTTCAAAGGATGTCAAATTGAGACGAAAAATTGAATTCCCAGTGTCACAATTCGGATTAGTATTCCTATTTGCATTAGAATTTCTATTTGTATTAGTATTCGTGTCACAATCTCTTTAATTATTCGGATTAGTATTCCTATTTGCAGTATTCTTGTCAATATTCGAATTATTGTTAGCATTCTTGTCAATATTCGAAATATGATTAGTATTCTTGTCAATATTCGAATTATTATTAGTATTCTTTTCAATATTCGAATTATTAGTATTCTTGTAAATATTCGTGTAGACGTTCCTGTCAATATTCGTATTTCTATTCCTATCGACGTTCCTGTCAATATATTCGTATTTCCCATTAGTATTCTCGATTTTCAGTTTTCTTATCACTATTCGAGGAATACCTCTCTCACTATAATTTCCGTATTGATTCTGTTGTCCCATTTATGTGTGCAGAAGGTAAAATGTGAAGAAGAAAAAAAATGTTTGTAACGAGTCACTGACACTGGGATTCAAATAGACCAACAAAGCATGGGTTTTTCCCCTTCGTCACTAATTATATTGTCAAACCCCATAGCATTTGGTTATATTCGAAGCGAAAATAAATGGCATGTTTTTTTTTCGCACACGTGTGCTTTTTGAGCACAATTCCCTACACATTTTTTTTTTTTCTCTTTCCACCCCCGAAAAGGAATTCAATTTTCACGTCATGAGAAGAGACAATATCCGTCCCTGGATTTGTGCGCCGGGTTACCGGCGCGCTATTCATCATTTTCACCACGAAAATAGCGCGCTTTGCCTTTGCGTTTCAATGGCCGCGAAAAATCACTAATTTTTGGATAAAAAATAAGATAAAAAATTTCAATTTATAAAAATAGAGATATTTTTGAAGAGACATTTTTGGGAATATAATTTTGAGGGCATACCTGAAGCTCACGCCGGTTATCCGATGATAAGACACCCTTGTGATGATAAAAATCCTTTTTGGTTTTTTTTTCTGCTCTTTTTGGGGGTTAAAACACTTGACACTCGCTTGTACGCGTGGTTGACCGCACACAGGGTTTTTGCACTTTTTTTTTTAATTCAATAACTTTCTAGTGACTTTGAGTCTTTTCGACTTTTATAAATATATGTATGTACAGGTGTGTATTTAAAAAAAAAAAAAAAATTTTTTTTTTTTGGCGAGAGAGGGTCGATAAGGGAGGGAGAGATATAGGGGGCGTCGTCGTTCTCTTATGATTTTCTCTCGCTATGTTCTCTCGCGGACACACACTTTACGACGGTCCAAGTTGTCGCGGCTGTGGGGCGCGGACCACTACCTAAACGGGCATCCCAGATCGTTGTATAAAACTCGTAGTGAAGAGCTGTTCCGTCGAGCGTGCCAGCTCCCTCTCTCTATGGGTTCACCCCTCTGCGCTGGCTGCGCGTACGACGCTCTTTGTGTCTTTCTCCCCCCACCCCTCTACCTACCCCACCTTGCTATGGTAGATTTTAGCCCAACGACCCCCTCCTGAGGTAGTCGGCCCCCCAATCTATCGTTCCCCCCTTCCTCCCCCCTCAGCCCAACCCGACAGCAAAGCCGATACCCGTCGCGTCGTCACCCCTCACCCTCTGTTAGCGCGACCCGTGCCCGAGTCGACGGCCCCCCCCCCTCACTCTCTCTCACTCTCTTCCCTTGTTGGCTCGTGCACACGTGAGGGGTTGAGGCTTACAATGTGAGACAGAGAGAGAAAGAGTCTTCTTCCTTGCAAAAATGTGTACTATGCAAGTGTAGAGACATGCGGGAGTATGCAATTTCTCCCCCCATGTAAATGTAAGTAATGAGGGTTTTGTCTGCCTAAGGGGATTTTTATCCTTGTGTCTGTGTAGAAAGAGAGAGAGAGAGAGAAAATTTACGAGTACGCTTTTAAATTGTGCTCAAAAAGTGTGTAACACTTGTTATGATTACACCAATGTGCATTGGTGTTTAATCATGTGTTTTTGAGTTTGAATTTTTGAGTTTAAATGCTAATTTCAAAGCGTCTTGGATATGCGTCTATGTAAATTTGAATTTTAGGGTATTTCGCTTATGCGATTTGTGAAATTTTAATAATATAGGTTCGAAGGGGAATTAACTTGGAGGTAGTTTACTGTACAATTTTCTCGTTAGAATAGTGTAATTAACTTGTGGATGTTCTGAATTTAACTTTTAAGTTAGCGGTACTAATAGTATATAGTAAAAATTACTATTGGATGTAGAAAACTATATAGTCAATGATAATAAAAATTCCTATTAGAAGTAAGAAATTACTATTAGAAGTAGAAAATTCCTATTAATAGTGGAAAACTGCTAAATGGTAAAAGAAATTACTATTAGATGTAGAAAATTCCTATTACAGTGGAAAAATTACTTTTTTAATAATAGAAAACTACTAAATGGTAAAACTATTATTATGGTTACTTCTAAAGTAGAAAATTCCTATTACAGTGGAAAATTATTATATTAATAGTAAAAAACTGCTAAATGGTAATAGAAATAACTATTACTGTGGAAAAATTATACTATTAATAGTAGAAAACTACTAACTGGTAAAAGAAATTACTATTAGAAGTAAGAAATTACTATTAGAAGTAGAAAATTCCTATTAATAGTGGAAAACTGCTAAATGGTAAAAGAAATTACTATTAGATGTAGAAAATTCCTATTACAGTGGAAAATTACTATTAACAGTAGAAAACTCCTAAATGGTAATATAAATTACTATTACAGTGGAAAAATTACTATTTTAATAATAGAAAACTACTAAATGGTAAAACTATTATTATGGTTACTACTAAAAGTAGAAAATTCCTATTACAGTGGAAAATTACTATATTAATAGTAAAAAACTGCTAAATGGTAATAGAAATTACTATTACTGTGGAAAAATTATACTATTAATAGTAGAAAACTACTAACTGGTAAAAGAAATTACTATTAGAAGTAAAAAATTACCATTATAAGTAGAAAATTACTATTAAAAGTGGAAAATTACTATTAATAGTAGAAAACTGCTAAATGGTAATAGAAATTACTATTACTGTGGAAAAATTACTATATTAATAGTAGAAAACAACTAAATGATAAAAGAAATTATTATTAGAAGTAAGAAGTTACTATTAAAAGTAGAAAATTACTATTAAAAGTGAAAGATTACAGTTAATAGTGGAAAATTACTAACTGCTAGTAGAAAAGTACTAATTGGTAGTGGAAATTACCCTCAGTAGTTGAAAATTCCGAACTGAACTTGGTGAATACTCGGAATTTAAGGTCTTTAGTTTACCAGTATTAATAGTAGTTAAAGAATTTCATTAGAAACTTTTTAACAAATCGAATTTTCAAAGTATTTTAATTTAATAATTGATAAATAATTGAATTTTATAAACAGTCACATTTTAATGTATTCATGTTTCTTAGTGCGAAGATTAATTAAAATTTTTATTAATTAATTTAAAAAAAGATACACACTTAAAATTTTTTAATAAAATTGAATTTTCGCAAACGTTTTTCTTGAAAATTCTGAAAAATAAGATTTTTGAAATTTTTCAATTCTATTGTTTCAAGATAATTCAATTTTTATAAACAAATAATTGAAAATTTTTGAAATAACTGAAATTTCTTTACATTCTATTAGAAATAATTAAATTCTTTTAAAGAATTTTATTTAAATTATTCGAAAATAATCAATCGAAGTTAGTCACCGTAATTATGATTTTCTTTTTAATAATTTCTTCGTAATATATTCAATTATTTTCATAAATATTAAATAGTAAAACTCATTGTAGAATTTCAATTATTTTTAATCCAATTTTAATCGAATTCCTCGAAAAATGTAATTATTCTTAAAAAATTTATTATAATTTGTCGAAAGAAAGAATTCAATTATTTCTAGAAACTGTGAAAAAAATTCTTCTCAAGAATTCAATTATTTTCATAAATTTCCATAAAATTCTAAAAAAACAATTTAATTATTTTCAAAAGCAATAAAATTCTTCGCAGAAATTCAATTATGTTTAAAAATTTTTTTAAATTTTCCTCAAAATTTCAATTATTTTTATAAATAATTAAATTGTTCTTCGCAATTCAATTATTTTCAAAAATTTTAATAATATTCTACGCAAACATTTAATTATTTCCATAAATAAGAACATTCTTTTGAAGGATTCAATTACTTTTATAAATAGTAAAATTCTTTGCAGAAATCCAATTAATATCAAAAATTTTTAATAAAATTGAATTAATCAAATTTTCAATTATAATTATAAACAGACAAGATTATTTTTAAGAATTGAAAAAATTCTTTGTTTAGGTCAATTATTTTCCAAATTTTAATTTAAAATTATTAAACGAACATTATTTTCAAAAAATTTAAAGAAAGTCGTCAAAAGAATTTACTATTAGTGGAATATTATTTTTTGATAGTAAAGTAGGATTAATTTGTAGGAAAAATAGTCAAAAATACTACAAAAGTGTACTAATAATTAGTACCAACCAAAAATTTACTGAATTGAAACTTTAATTTTTTTTTCATTTATTGAATAACGAGAAAAATTAACTTACCCCAGGAATACATATTCTAATTAAAAAATCCCTTCTTTAATATATATTTTACTCAATTGAAAGTTAATTTTTAGTAATTAAAATTTTTTATTCGATAGAATTGTTAATTAATTGAAAGTGACTTTTTCATTTGCTGATCTAGTTTTTTCTGTTTTTCTTTTTGCAGGAAAGTGAATAAAAAAAGGAAACCACTGAACGATGGGGAGAGTAGAAGAACTTTCTTTACTTCTTGGTTCATTCAATCAAAAAAAAAAAAAAAAAAAAAAAAGAAAAGAAAAAAAATGGGTGAGTTTTATAATAATTTTCCATTTAAGGTAATTTCATGTTTTTAAAATAGTTTTTCCCTTCGATTTCAATTCTGCATGCCACTGATTCCTGAAATATACTTTTTCTTTCCGCCGGACTATATTCAATCTCTTCGACCTCATTTTATGAACAATATTTCCTTTCATCTATTTAAAAACAAAAATAATATTCAATCCGTAAATATCGAATGAATTCTGTCGAAGGAATAGTAACTGTATAAATTACAGCTAACGAGAGTAATAATATTGTTAAGGAATAGTAACGTAATATCAATTCGAATAGAAAAGTATATTTTTATTCTATTAAAATTATTAAGAGCAACGCTTTTGATACATTTTTTGTCTCAATTTTGATATTCTTTGAAAAACTATGAATTTGAATAAAATAGTATATTTATTTATTATAATTAAAAACAAAATAAATTAATTAATAAATGATAAATAATAAATAAAATAAATAAAAAATAATTATAATGCAAAACATGAAAATTTAGAAACTAAAAAAAACTCCTTGACCTTTAGAGAAAAAGAGAGAATGAATTAAATTTTTTATCATCAAAATATTAAATAAATTGTTGAGCCTATAAATCAAATGTAACATAAAAAAAAGAGTAATATAAATTACACGTTTTATCTTCCTTTTATTTCTCGCGGTGCTTTTTCGAGAAGCCTCTTAAACTCCAGCTACCTTAAATAAAAATGTCACGATCGATTCTCTTACTTAAATTTGTCTTTCTTGACGCAATAAATTTTCCGTTAAAAGAAAAATTGTACTTGGGGAAAAATAAAATTTAGTGTTTTTTTTTTTTCTTAAATTTTGAACCTTTTTTTTAATACTTGTAATTTTTTTTTTTTTTTTTTTTTTTGAAAAATGACACGATCTATTGCCACTTAGATAAATCCTTATGTAAGCGTCGCGACGCCTTATACTATATGAACGATGTCAAACTGCTATTTTCCACCCCATTTAGAGGAATGGGGGAGTGAAATTCTCCCGTCGGGTATAAAGCTTCCTTAAACTTGAGAGTTCACGGTTACGTGTCGCGCGATCAGTTGAAACTCGACAAAATTGGCGTCATTATATGAGAGAGCTGTGCCCTTATTTTCTGGCGTAATTCAACGCCTAGAGAGCGTTTCACCAACCCCCAATATAGCCTTTTAGTTTCACACCCCCCCCCCCACACCCCTTCTGTGAGTAAGGGGGTGGCATTTGTACACCTACGAAACAGGAAACGACCACTTTGTGCCAGTCACTCAGAAAAAAAAATAAATAATAATAATAATAATAATAAGTTTTATATACAACATACGTCACATCTCAGGGAGTAACTGTTTAGCATTTCTGAACATGGGTGCTTCGGTACACACGTGCGAATTTACATTTACGTGCGGCTAAATATATAGTATATATCGAAACGTGAAATTCCTCACGTGAATTATTTTAAGGAACATTTTTTCTTTCAGGGAAAATTTACGATGAGCGTTTAGCACTTTTTTTTAAATTAAATAAAAGTAATTTTTGATATACTATTGTTCAAAATATTTATA